CCCCGCCCCAGAGTGGGCATGGGACCCCCACGCGCCTCCAAGATGTAATAAATAAATAAATAAATAAAGCATGATCACATCTCGGCTTAGATCAGAGCATAAATGAAAAACAAATCCTTGTTTAATGCGGCCCCAAACAGTCTCCCACATGCCATATGGTTTGCTTTCCTTGCTCAAAACAAATATTATTCGGAGATGTAATTAGAATTCTTTTCATCTCCTCTGGAGAGATTATTGTTCCTCTGTAAAGACAGCCCCGGCGTGCAGGTCACCAGCAAATGTTATTGTCACAATCTGCGGTGGCTTCTTCCTGGCACGGCACGGCACGGGGACGGGGGGCTGAGCCCCTCCATGCCAGCATGGCCAGGCCCAGGGCTGCCAGCCTCCCCATGCTCCCCTGCCACTGTTTTCGGCACAGAGGCGGGCAGGGGCTGCAGGCAGGGGCAGGGGCTGCGGGGGCCACCTGTCCTGTCCCCACTGCATTGCTTCGGGGCTGGCGGCGGCACTGGGATGAACCTGGTCCAGCTGGAATCTGCTCCAGCGTGGGGCTGGCCAGCCCTGCCCGTCCCTGCTCTGCCATGAGCCGCAGTGGCTGGTGCCCAGCCCGGACGGGTCACGGAGGCCAGATCAGGGTCCCACTGTATCTGCGCCAGATGCCCTTCCTCTTTGCCAGCCACCTCATGCTGCCGGTGCTGCCGGCTCAAAGTCGCCATGCGGGTCCCTCTGGTGCCACCGGAGCCCCCTGGGACACGCGTCCCATCGGGAGCAGCGTGCAGCTCCCCAGGGCTTGTCACCGAGCCCTGATCCCCTCTGAAAGCGAATGATTATCAGCCCAGACAGAAAAGTTAATACCTTTAATATCTCCCCGTCCCTCCGGACGCATGGAAATCCCATATACTTATCACTTTCCTTTAATCCATCTTAGCAGGGGAACTGAGGGAAATGCAAGGGGTTTAACAAGCCCTGCTCTCCCGGCAGGGTTCCCAGCACGGCTCCCGCACCCCCATTCACCCGGGACCCCGGCACCGGCAGCCACGTGGGCTCCATGCCAGAGAGCAGAGGGAATCCCGGGCCAGGGAACAGCTCCGGTGGTTGAAGGTTGCGGGAAGAGCAGGAGGTTCCGGCACTGCCCGGCGCCAGCTGCTCCTCAGCACATGGCAAAGGGCTCATCCGTGCTCCTGCCGCAGCAGCACCAGGGCCATCACGTCCAGCCGTTAACCAACACTCGCCCACCCATTCCCCGACTGCGGCCCAGGATCGGGGTTTTGCTCCGCAGGACTCCTGATGGCAGGAGCGATGGCCAAAGCCAGAGGGTTCTGGCAGACCCCGCACCAGCCCCCTGGGACCTGCAGTCCTGGCTGGGCGTGCGGAGCAGAGGCAACAGCCTGAGGGCTCCAGCCATGTCCAAATTACTCTGAACACAATTAAAATCCGCTCCCACAGATGGGAATTTGGCAGATGAGTGGAGAAAAGGCTTGATTGAATCAAGCGCCTTCTTTCTTTCAGATTTTAATTGGGAAGCGTATGTATTAATTAACCCCAGGGCTTGACTGCCTCAAAGTGCATCCAAAGGAGGGCAGGTCCTGCTGGGGACCCGCCAGCCCCGCAGCGTCCGGCCCCACCATGAGGCAGCTCCTGTCCTGGGAGCCCCATCCCATGGCCTCCGTGAGGACCGCAGATCCCACTGCATCCCCCCACATCCCTCTCCACGCATCCCAGCCCTTCATCCCCTCCTCTGCCTCACTGCCCTCCCCCTCCATCCCAGCTTCCCACCCCCAGTCCCTATGCGGGGAGGGGGCTCCAGGACCCCAGTGCCAGGGGATGCCCATGCAGCTCATGTCCACAGGGTGCTGGGCTGTGCTGACCCCCCCGGCCCCGACAGTCACCCTGGGACACCCCGGCCAAGGGGCGGCCGGGCCATCACCAGCGCAGTCCCCAGCCCCAGAGTCGCGGCAGGACAGTCCCGCGTGGCACCATGAGAGCAGGACGTGGTGGATGGCCCAGGAGAGGTGCCAGGAGAGCGGGCTCAGGCCAGGCCAGCTCATCACCCGGCTGCTGGGGGATTTCCACTTCCCGAATACGGATGAGTTTCAGGCGAGCAGGGCAGCCTGGGGCTGGAAGCACATGGGTCACCTCCTCGCTGCTTTTCAGCTGGGAAAGACCATTTGAAGTATTACAGGGAAAAGCAATAAAGGCTCCTAATAACTGCAGGTCACCACGTCCTGGGCAGAGCACCCAGACCCTGGGGGGAGGTGCAGCGAGATAGGGACGGATGCTTCTGCAAAGGAGAAAGCGGCATGGCAGAGCAGATAGATGAGAGACAGACGGATGGACAGAGAAACTCCAGGTGACAGGTCAGTGAGAGAAAGGAGATACCCGGGGACAGTTCATCTCTCCTGCCCCTGTCGAAAAATGAGCGGGGTCTGACGGAGGGGGCCGGCAGCTCCCAGGGGGCAATGAAGCCCTTTCGCTGCAAGAGCTGCCCGGGAGAGCCGGGGCTGAGCCATCGGGGAAGGAGTGCCTTGGTGAGGCGAGGAGGAGGCAGAGGCATCTCAGGGCTCCGTGTTTGCGGGAACAAGTGACCAGTGTCACCAAGTCACTCCTTTGCTGGGAGCAGATGTCTCTTGGTCTATCCGGTCCACGGCCACCTGCGCAGCCTTTGCACAGGACGGTACGTGGTCAGTATCGGGGTGGGCTGTGGAGCCAGTCCCCACCTGGGAAGCCGAGAGCTCAGATTTTCGCAGAGCGGCTGAACTCCAGCGGGAGCATTTAACTGTGCTTTTGCAGGGCGTGCTAAAAATCCCCCCCGCGCTGAGCTGACACGCAGCTCCGTGGCCAGCTCAGCCATGGCTCGGCCTGGTGCAAGCTGCAGCCGGAGCCCCGGCACAGCCGTGTCTAGCG